ACATTCAAACTAACTAAATAACTGTTGTCGTAACGGGCATGTATTTCATTCATCTACTACTCCTGCAGTCAGCTAAAAGCCAGTTCGTCCGAGAACAAAGCGACAGCATATTCCGATCCTTCGGCGCATTTTTCAGCCAAGATTCAAAATTATTTTTTGCTCGAAATTCACGGTTTTTCTTACATTACCTCTAAAGGGTCTGAAGGAAATTTTTATAAACTAAGCCTGAATGTTGTCAATAGGATTTCGATTTAAAAGGCTCAAAAAGCCATTTTTGATATTAAAACTAACCGTTGTTCCAAACAGAATATCCGTTGCCGATTAGGGTATCCAGATAGGCTACAAGGATTAGTTTGAGATTTTTTACTGTTGTTTTTTTATAATTTTTTGGTCGCTTTGAAAAATGCAAATTCTTCAAACTTTTGGTCTGTTATTAGCTCAAAATTTACTTCTGTTGGAATTTTTGTGTAGCGTATTTGAGTGATACTTTTACCAATATCATAACTTCTTATGAAAGTTATTCGCGGGTTAAAGAAGGAATGTCTCGAAAATGACTAGTTAGTGATTTAGGTATCAAATCGGTTAACGATCGTTAAGGATGATAGTTAGCAGGTATAAAATATTTTGTTGCAATATCTGTTCTTGGTCAGAAACGGTCTTAGAGGCAAAGCATACGAAAATTTCTCAGTTTACACGCGCCACTCTGTGTATTTGCACGTACACTTTTCAAGCTCTGAAATCCAATAAGGAGTAAGTGAGATAATTCTAAATATTTTCCTGCCACTCGCCTGAAGAACAAATGGTCTTTGAGAAACTTCCTATCCTATCCGAAAACGCTCAAATGTGTGAGTAAATAGTGGTGATGCTATTATGAAACTAGGTGATTTGCACTACATATTATCATCTATAGTTTTGCATTTTGTGTCCGTGAAACACGATAAATTAGACTTACTTTGCTTTAAGAATCGTTGTGTCAATATCGTCGATGCTTCCACCGTGGGTTAACCTAAATGGCCCCATAAAACTTTGCCCTTTACGTCTTAGCTTGTCGCATTCATCCTTGGCTTTCCGTAGCTGATTCTCAGCAGCTGCCTTCTTTGCGTGGAAATACTTTAACTCGATTTCATGGGTTAGTTGCAGCCAGTGCTGTAATTGGGGAGGGGCCATTCCCCGCGGCACATTCTGCGCCTTCGCCAATTCTTCATGAAGAAAACGTATCTCCTCTTGTAGCTTGTAGATCTGCATCTCTGGATCGTTGTAGGCTAGTACAATATTACGCAATACCAATCATACAATGGGAAAATAAACATTATGCAACGCTAAATAATCTAAATATTTCTCTCTGTACAATTCAAACTTCACACTAGAATATAATAAAATTTGTTTTTCATAACTGAATATACTATGAGATTGTTAAAGGATTCAATGCATAACATACTAATCCCCCCCCCTCGCTGTAGAATAATCAAACGTAAAAAAGTACTTAAACAGAAGCAGTAACGACGAACTTTGCAACTATATTATGCTATTCTAACGCAGTATCTATTACATGTTATCGTTTACGGTAACAGATGTATATTCCGCAAGAGAGGAAGCAGACTCTTACCAAGACCTTCTTTCTTGCCTGAAATGTCTTCTTGGGGACTTTCAGCTTCGCTTCGGGCTTTGTCAAGCTGCTGCTGCATCTCAAGTAGTCCGTCTAGCTCCTTCATCAACTTGCTAACTTGTTCGTCTGAACTTTGCTTCTGATTGTATAGGTACCTAAAACGTAGCCATACTCATTTTTCAAAGAACGTTCCTAGACATCAAAGGCAACTTATAGTGGAAGAACTGACAACAATCGATTTTTGGAATCTGGTTCGTGCCCTGAACGATGTACTAGATAAAGTATTATATTTATTATGCTGGAGTATTATATTTATTCACTATAATATTATGCTGGAGAACAAAAATATGAAGGTAAATTCATACGCAAATATTGAGTTATCCCTTCTGCAAAACGTGCTATCTCCCATCCACTTACTGTCCTTACTGTGTGAGTGCTACACTGCGGACAATCCTTACCACACAATCATACAAGCTAAACAAATCACGACCGCTAGAATCACATCTTTGAGCCAGTTGTGATTTCGCTGCGGACCGAAAAGGACGACGTCCATAGCCTTGAGAACGAGCTTCTGCTTCGAAATCGGATCCTTAATACCGAGTTCACTTGATAGATACGCATTACTCTGGACTGCCATCCGCGGCAGGGCACGTCCGTCGACACGGTTCTCGTGAAAGACCCGCGCATATTGTGGAAGATCTACACAGTCCACCAGCCACGATACTGTCTCTTCAACCGTCCAGTTGTGAACTGTATAACACAGGACATGGATGCAGATAATACAAGTCAAATTAGACTACGAGGGCAGTGAATAGAAAGAATCATCTACAACGTACAATCATCGTACGGTTGAAGATTTGGTTCCTAGCTAAAGCTTTGCCGAACACACTGGACCAGAGCAAGCACATTTCTGTGAGAAGGTAAATGATGCAGTTTTGCCAGTCATTTGAATCTAGGATCACTCGGATATGGATGAAGAAAATCGACCTGAATAGTTCACCTAAGCATTTCATTCAGATACTTGGCTATCGATTAGTTGTTCAGCTGTTTCGGAAAAAGAAAGCCTGCGCATAATAAATAATATTAATATTGTAGATGTTTTTTATTTCTTCGATTGTATAAATTTTACCTTCACTATTTTTCCAACCAAGCCACATTTCGAGAACTGATATCGACGTATCAGTTCCATGGAAAGCTTTTATTTGCCGTTCATTGCCGTTCGGGTTTTGAAGTTCATCTCTAAAACACAGTAAAAGTAATAGCGAGAACAACAGTAATGAATTATTAATAGGAAATTCACATTAATAATAGTTCATTTGCGTAGCTTCTTGCGCACATAATCACGGTGCGGCAGCGGCCATGCACTCGCACCATATTCACGTGAAACGACCCCGAGCCTAGCGTATGGTAAGCTACGCAGCCAAATGCAAAACCCCAAAGTCCCGTCAACAACACTGATTTCTTCTCTGAGCTGGCTGTGGACAGGGAGCGAAGCAGTTAAAAAATAAATCGATTTCAAGGTACATCTGTTTTATCTACCGTATAAACTCGTCCGTTTCTGAAATATCGACCGTTCCTGACGCATCGTCATCGAGCTGGCGGTGCAGTGCCCGGATCGCTTCGAAGCCCGCAATGTCATCGCAAGAAGATGTCACTTCGCACGCTGCAAGACGAAGCAGAAATATAGTAAGTACAAAAACGCTATACAGAACAAAATTTATCTTCGTTTTTTTCTGACGTCATTTTATTGACTTGATTTAAATCCACAAATTGCTTGGTTCAAGAAAATACTATTATAAAAAGGCGAATATCATAAGCGACAAAACAACTGCATGGAATCGAATAAGTAGGCTGGGCTGTGTACGGGCTATTTTATAATTGGTCATGGCATACGAGCATTCTGCTTTGCCGATTCGTACTGCTGAATGAAGTCCGCGGTATCAAGCTGATCTTTTCGCTCGAGTCCCCTTGAGCGATTTTGCTAGGTATAATGACGCTCTGATAGCAGAATACTATTTGAATCGCCCTTACACACTAGAGTCAATATTGTTTGATCGGATCGACAGGCTATTGGCATGTCTCTGGTAGATCATGCCAGAAAAGGTCAAATCAAGGTTATTAGTTCGATCGAAGTCATGAAATGTCTTGTCACAATAAGGATTTTATCCGTTTCCACACATTTCACCTCAAATTTATGTTTTGCAACAGTTGCCACGTAAACACTATTACAATATAAATATTTTATATATAAAAAGCTGTTAGGTCTAGAACACTTTTTTTGAAACTGGCGAAAACAGAAAGTGAAAGGTTGCACTGGTTTAAGCAGGGGCAACATCGCACAATGCCTTCTTTGTCACTGAAGACCAAATTTGTATCTGTTTCTTTGACCTTAGCATGAGTAATGCGCTAACGCTTAGTCTTCGTAGAGTTTTTTTTTTGTAATAAAGGATAATTAAACATTCCGCTAATTGAATTGAATATTCATACGTATACGCGACTTTGAGTTGAACAAAAAACTCATACGATCTTTGCAACGGATGCACATGCAA